TAATAGCTAAAACTTTATTAATTTCGACCAACTCCTTATCAATTCTTTGGATAAATTCTTGTGTAGCATTTTCTCCCTGATATAGGAAAGGCCCCTATATATCTCCAGTATCAATCCAGTGGACTAAGTAACAAAAGCTATTAGCTTTTTGTTCGGCAAGCTTTCTCATTTGTCCTGCATATTCTTCGTTGTATTTTTTATTGTCTGACTCGAAGTCTGCTATAATTACACATGGAGCATTAATCATTCGGCTATAGTTCTTGAACTTCTCGAAGTCATTAACATCCTTGGTTGGTAATTTGACTTCTTAAGTGGCCTTCCTCAAACCGAAACAGTGCTCTTGGTGATGATCTACAGCCTTTATTGTAGAAAAACTTTGAGTGCATTTTCTACAAATATATCTTTTACTATGGTGGGTGGTATCTCCAAAAACTAGCCCATTTATATTCTTAATCCAAAGAAAGTAGTTTTTTTGTCCATACTTATTATCTTCGGATTTTGTTATATCTGTAAGAGCCATGAGATCGATAATATGCTGCCTATTATAATTTTTGCTAGCTATTACGGCTTTGGGAGTAGCTGTTTCCTCTTTCCATTCTCAGACATTGATAGAGATATCAGGATTCATTTCCTCAATCTTATTAAATATACAGGAACAAACTGGAGTAGGCATAGAAATTCCATCGAGCTTAACTTTATCTAAATAGGGCTTGTATTTTGTGGCTTGGAAGATTCGTTCAAGATGTTCTGTATATACACCTAATGCACCTTGAAGACATTTTTCGGATAATGTATTAGTTTCTGGATTAATTAAACCTTTATTATCCAGATTGATAGTGGATTTTGTATTGGCAAGCTTTTTGGGAGTAGGAATATAGGAACCTCTGTTAGTTCGACGGTAGGTATAGGATTCAATAAATATATTTTCTATTTTAAGAAGAATTTTACCGGACTCCTCTTTTAAGTGTTTCTCAATTTATGATATTTTTCCTTCAAACCCACTTTCTTTAACTTTAAATAGTTTGAAAAATAATAAAATTCTTTTTGTTGAACAAATTACAACTGCTAATAATACCAAACTTCTTCCATGAAACAATATTTACTTACGTATAAATAAACCAGCCAAAGACCACCAACCTTAATGGTTTATACAAATTTTTCAACTTAATCAAACAAATTCTATATACACAACCTGGTCTTCTCTTAATCATCCTTCTATAAATACCTTTACTAATTCTATTGATCTCTTACCCTCTTCCTTCTTTTCTAATCCTTCTTCATCTTTTCAAATTTCTTATATAAATAATCAACAAATCTACTTTTCTCACCAAATTAATCTTACACAACACAATATCTACAAAATTACAAATTCAACACCTGGCATTATCTCACTTACTTCCTCTACTTTACCATCTTTACCAACTCTTCACTCTTTTAAACTTCCTATAATCAACTCAAGTTTTATAATAACCAATTACAAATCAACTACTATGAAATTTTAGCTCTTATTCATATTAACAATTATACATTAGATTCAATTACTCTACCACCTCAACTCCAATTAAATCTACCCTCTTATGAAGTTCAACTTATTCAACAAATAGTTAACTTACCTACTTACCAAAATCAACTACTTCAACTTCTTCATCTTATAAATAATCTTAATTACGATACTTTAGATTTCTATACAGATGGCTCTATTAAAAATATCCAATCCTCAAATATCCAAACTGGTATAGAATGGTCTGCAAATCTCATGTCTCTATCTGCTTTAATGCTAATACTCATTCATATCCTGACTCTACTCATATTGAACTAAAAGCAATCTTAAGTCTTCTTCTTGCTTTACCATCTAACTCTTCCATTAATATTCATCTCGACAACAAAACTGCAATCAAAAATCTACAAACTCCACTAGTAGTGGGCAAACGGGAGTTCTGGGACAGATATATCCAGAAGGGCTTCCAATTCCTCTTTACAAGCCCTTCTAGATATATTTAATCATATATTGAATTCAAGCTCTGAATTATGCTAGAGCCAGTTCCTATTAACTTACTCTCCTTACTCCTAAATTTGGGTTTCCAACATTAAAGAGTACATAGTCTTTGTTAATGCTCTAGCTATGTTTTTAATTCCAAACAAGATAACAAAAAAATTATGCTATCTTGCTTGTCTTTAAAAATGAGCAGAAAGCACCGAGGACCGAAGTGTCTGAGTGTGCTTCTCTGCAGGCCCATTCAAGCCTAATATGCATACTATTTTCTATGTTATCCTAGAATTAATTCAAAAAGCGATTCATCTCTATCTAGCAAAGGTCAAAAAATGCTAAGTCTCTTCTCGCAGAGGTGAGATTTAGCTATTAGGGGTGAGACTTATCCGATTAGAGGTAAGACTTATCCGATCAGAGGTGAGACTTCACAAGTGAAAAAAATATAATAATTATTCTAGGGTTCACCACTTTCTGGCAGAGCCAGCTCATGATTCATCAGGAGAAGGTGGGATCATAAAAAGATAGGGGGTAAATTTTTTTATTTAAATAAAAGTTTATCCAATATATTAACAGGTGAGACTTAATTATATCATGCCTAGAAGTGATAAAAAAAATCGTATATGCGCTTGTTGCAGATATACTTTTACAAGGCCAGAAAAACTTCGCAAGCATTATAAAAGCAAAAAAAATCAATGCAACATACCAAATACTCGAACCCAACCCTCTCCCTCGCAGAACGAAGTTCAAGAGAGAGTCCAAGACCCAGAAGTCGGCCCAAACTTCACTACCCAAGCCTATAGAGAAGGAATAACCTTGCAGAATGTAGTTCAAGAGGGTGATATAGTATTTGTGAAAAAAAGTTATGACCCGGCCAGACCACATAAAAATCTCAAAAATATGTCTGTATGGGAGGGAAAGATTCCAGCAGGCAATAATCCAGCATATGCTTTTAATAAACAGCAAGACAACCAAATAGCATACGCAGACGCCCTATATATGCCCCAACTCATAGCTTCCACACGCAAAGAAATTACTAATATTCTCAAAGAAGAGCTCTACAAAAAGGATCAAATAAAAACATCATTAGTTATAGAAAGCACATACGCAAAATATAAATATAAAGGAGAAGGCGATGTTACGGACAAAGTGAATTATGAACTTAGTCAGACCCATTCATATCATAGAGGAAAACAACATATTCTTCTTTCAGAAAATGATATAGACCTATATTTAATTCAATCTGTAGGAGAAATGATATATAAATTGAGAAACACTTAAAAGAGGAGTCCGGTAAAATTCTTCTTAAAATAGAAAATATATTTATTGAATCCTATACCTACCGTCGAACTAACAGAGGTTCCTATATTCCTACTCCCAAAAAGCTTGCCAATACAAAATCCACTATCAATCTGGATAATAAAGGTTTAATTAATCCAGAAACTAATATTTAGAAAATAACCTCATGGAGAATTTGCTTTGGTATTAAGAATCCTATCACGATATTTCTTTTGCACATTTGGGTTGTCCTCCAAATATTTACGACTTGCCTCCCATTGATAATTTCCTATAGGCAAATACTGGCTCATGGCCCAGCCATAAAGATTTGTTGCGTCTACACATGAAATCCATGATGTAGGTTTGGATGGATTAAAGGCCTTACCCATCTTAGGATTATTGGCTTTGAAATATCGTTGACAGGCCATAGCTATTCCACCACGCTTAGCCTTTTCTATGAAATCATACATAGCCATGTCTGTAAAGAGCCCAATCTTGACTTCTGTCATTTTAAGCATAGCATCCCAAGAATATGCTGGAAGTGAAACATAATGGCTTGGATCGAGCCCATCATATTCTATAGACATTTGTCGTAACTGTGTCCAGACATCGGCTAGGCAAAGAACATCTGTTTTAAGATAGAGATCATGATATTCACCCAAATTTTTGCAACCAAATTCTCGCCAAACCTCTTGTGCATAGTTATAGTCTTTTTGGAAGATTTTACCATTAAGATGTCCATAAAATTCATGAATAGGCGGAAGCTCAGTCTCTAGGAACCTATCATGAGAATCGATATACTCATATGGATAAACCCCTTTGCGACATACTAAAAAAATCTGTTCTGAGGAATAGTTTTTGTAGTACTTGCTTGTGATTGGGTGGTTGGCACCCAAATTTTTCGTAAGATTTGCCAAGCTATTATTCATAAATTGCATGCTATCTATATATTTAAGCTGGCCTACTTTTATAGACTTGTATCGCTCAAATGTTTCGGCTATGACCCTAATTTGATGAGCATTAACTGAGTTTCCAACAGATTCACAAACCAAATGAGAGTTGTAGCCCCGGAAGTTATGAAAGATAACTGAAATAGGAGTTTTCCATGCTTCATTCTGGAGTTTGAGATTACATGCATTGTGGGCGGGTTCCCGAAACTTACCTGTAATGTGGCAGTGGTCCCAGACCTTGTCATCTATAGCAAGCTTTTCTTTACATATCCAACAGGTATCAGCTTCAGCAAATATTTTTTTATCTTTTTCTATCACAATTCATTTATGCTTAATAGCTAAAACTTTATTAATTTCGACCAACTCCTTATCAATTCTTTGGATAAATTCTTGTGTAGCATTTT